CGCATCGAATGGCACCAAATCCTCTTCGGTGCAAAGTGATATCTCGCCGGCTCTTAGTGGTTTAGCATCTGATCTGAATCAAGTGGGTTTCGCCGACTTAAGATACCGTTCTTCAGACGATAGTTTTTTCCTGAATATGCTGAACAAGTTCGGTTTTACACGTACCATTTGTGTCATTACCAAATTGCTCGGTTTTGTGTGATCCATAGAGATGATTCAAGTCTCAAAATTTCTGCAACAATCTAAGACAAGAGAAGTTTTCAACTTTTACCACAGACACATCATTGATGCTTATATCGTTACTTTGCGTTTATCTGCATCGTTTATTTCTTCCATTGACTCGGCAATCAGAAGTTTTATCTGGCAATAAGAACTTCATTATTTTCAAATGAGAATGCATCGTACTGGGTGCATTAATCAATCACCGGTCATGCTGCAACATATGATTGTTAAGGCAAAAGACTGTTTTCCCAAATGGATTTCATGCGCGAGCGCTCTTGTAATAAACTGGATTCTGTCAAAATGATGTTTGTATTCAGGTTCGTGCCGATCTTGAGCATATTCTTGTTCAAATAGATAATGCAGCTAGTGGTCATGAACGAGAAAAACCACAGTCAGCCGATGAGATCGACAGCAATTGCTCGACCACGGTATGCATGACATATTCTTCTCTTTTATAAATTTCGATCAATTTTCTTTTACATGAATGCTTTCGATTGCATTCTGAAAGTGCTGTTCCATGCTGAGTTTTCCTTGTCTAGGTTCAGGATCCCATCGATAGAGAAAACTCACAGTCGATAATTTCCTTCGAAAGGCGCATTTTATACGTGAATCTTGAAATGGATTGAATTTTAATAAGCAACGGTTGAGGGGTGGGAAGCGCGTTCTGGTGTTTTCATTTCATTTCATCCGAAAACAATCAATCACATAATTGGATTGTCTTCTTTTGGAGTGTTCTTGAGAACGAACTATCGCATTCAATTGCGTCCATCAACTTACATAATGAACGATGCGATGCGACTCACCAATAATCAACGATTTTGTTATGTTTCAAATGTGCAATTTCCTTAAAGCACACATACTTAATTCTTCCAGTTCATTGATTTACACGAAACATTCTTCGCATCTATCCGATTGTTTGACAGAATCTATTGGCCCTGAATACGTACTCGTCACTTTTCGATCAACCGCCCATACCAGTGATTCTCACGTTCGGATGCTTCACTACGCATTTTTCATGATCTGGCAGGCCGCCGTAACCCCTTCCCCCTGATACAAGAACTTACTAATTCTGCATATAATGTCAGGAACAAACGAAAAACCGGTCCGAAAATTTTTCAGTGGCATGAAAGAAATAGAGCTTTAAACTGAATTAGATAGATTCTCATTCTTTTCAGACGTGTTGTATTCACTCTCATAGCTATTACATGCGAATAGTGTTCTCTTGATGTGTTTTTCTCATTCACTTCGTCTCATTGCACTTCACAGTTCGAATCAATTTCTCATTCTGTGGCATATACTATTTACTGGATACGTTGACGAGTGTTGACAGCGGAAACCAACAATACAGTAATTGTTCAATAGTCTNATTATCAATTATAGAGTATATTTGATAGAATGATAATTTGACTTTAATTGTTGAGTGAAATGAATGAGAAATTCGCACAAGGGAACACTTTCGGTGATAAAAGCTATGAGAGCGATTGTAACAGCAAGGAATAGAATGGAAACCCTGTTAAAACGAATGAAACCGTGTTAGGTCAGGACGAGCTGATGATACTTATTGTTAGAAAATGGGAGAATGAAGAGTGTTGCCATCAACCGACCGCATTTATTATCCGAGTTAAAAAACACCATCACGATGGCGTTCTATCATTACACAACAGCTGCATGAAAAACTAATTTCTCGACCCTCTCCATTACCCCTTGACTCCTCCAAATTATCCAAAATGGATAATTTCACCCTCTGTGAGAACCACTGGCTCATACTAATGCGTTCTTAGTTGTAGTTTCAATGAGAAATTTTTGCAGTTGATCATTTGAGGTTGATTTATTGTGGTGAAGAAAATTTCATTTAGGGAACCATTCGACGTCGTGAAGCGTAATATGTGCTTTTTCAGGCCGAAAGTGCGCGGTCATCCGAAAGTCGTGATATGGAACCGTTGCGGCGAGCTCTAAAACGATCTCAAGCTGAGCGTGAAGCACTGAAGGAGCAACTTGATCGTGTTACCTTCCAGCTGCAGGATGCTTGTCGAGAACTTGATCTCTACAAGCACGAACCCCGTGCAGAGGTCATCAAGCAAGCGCTGAACCCTCGTAGACCACGCAGCAGAAGTTTCGTCGAAATCGGTCGTGCCACTGTCGATCTCGAAGANCATCTGAGGTATGTTTGCTAAATTTATCGCTGGCTACTGCAATTGTTCAAAATCATTTTCTGGAGTTTTACCCAGTCAACTCATTCATATTTGCAGTGGGATCTCAGCAAAGGCAATGGAGATTGACATTTCTTGAAAGTGCTCCCTTAAAAAGGCCTTTCATTGTTGAAGTAATTGTTGTCTGTCATTCTGTTGAACCCTACCATTTTTTGCATTCCGTGTTTTGTGTGACGAATGATCGTTTTGCTGATAAAGTTTTGTTCATTATGTCATCGCTATCGAATCGAATCTGAAATTACATTTAATTTTCTTGTTGAGATGGAAGGAGAAGGCTGGAACGATGTTCCGTGAACTGAATCGCGTACGTAAAGAGTACTATGTGTGCGATAGCGAACGTCGCGAACTGCGTTTACAACTGGTCATGATGCGTGGTGAACTTGGACTAGCGCAGTGCCAATTAGCTGAATTGTCCACCCGTCCTAGACGTGACTCGAACCATACCAATGCCAACGTCTCGCAAGCAGTTGCTTTTTCACCAAGTCCCGAACCAAAATCACCGAAACGAAGTGTGGTATGTTCATCGAGTTCAGTTGTCGTGTTTTACTTATATTAAGTGAATGAACTGTTGAATTGAGTGGTCGTGTTGAGTGGTCGGTTACGAAGGGGATACATTTAAGGGCGAGAGAACGACGGTTACTGATGGAAGTAGTAAACAACGTTCACGATTCCCTTCATCTGGAACGTACGCAACGGCGCATACCTCATTTGCGTCGTTATATGAAACTGCTGCAATCAGTGAACCTGACCTATCAATATGGTTCGTTTTCATTACTCTTAAACCATTGTTCACATTAATCTGAGAATTCTTTCTCCCAAAATCTGAGAACTCATTTCACCGAGTGTTTTNAGTGTTAACATATCCGATCAAAATGATTCATTGGCGATTTTCAGTAAGCAATCGCGACATGACGAACATCCTTTCAAGTCAAAATCACGTACGAACAGAAGATCGATCTCAAGAGACCATGAAAGACGCAGAGCTGCTGATGAGCATGATGAAATTGTGAAAGAGGCCGCGAAAGTGCAATTGGCCCTTCTCAAACAACAAAATAAATCTCTTCGAGCTGAGCTCAGTAAACCTCACTCATCCTATCCGGTGAATTTCATTTTTAGGTTCTATTAATCCTTTTAAAATAAACTCGTTAAATTTCAACTAGTGTAACATTGTACACGTGTTTCTGTTAATTTCATTGATTGTTGAAAGTCGACGAATGATGTTCTAGTGGCATAGCCAGGATTTTTTTCTGAGGGGGAGGGGGCGGGGAAGAAGCTAACGCAAAATGATTTGGTCTTGAAAATTGGATGAATTTTGGGGTGGATATGAAACCGATATTGTCAAACATGAATAATTTGGTAGTTGCGCTAAGGTTGATGCCAAAATCGATTATTATACTCGTGACACTGATGAATGTAGCATTTCCCTATCATGAGATCAAAACTGGAGTTCTGTGATCGTTTTTGTTTCTATAGTGTATAACATTGTTTATATCAGTCTCGAGAACATCAACTTGAAGTCAACGACTTAACCGAGGCAAATAAATCGTTGCATAAAGAAATTGGAGCGTTGCGCTCGGAGCTGGTAAGTGTTCCGCATGATGAAGAAATATATTCCCAAATTCGATATGAGTAATTGATGTGATGGCAGTCATTTAGAATGTTTTCACAGAGCATTTTATTATCAAATGAATGAATTCCTTCCACATATGCATCATTCACTCATTATGGCGAATATATGCAGGAATGCTTGCGGACAGCTGCTGATGCACGATTGACGACGTATGAACAACGGGATGAGGACAGAAAGGTGGAAATCGCACATTTGATGAGACAAGTCGACGAGCTGACTTATGATAAAGGAAAGCATCGAGAAGAAGAGGTTAATTATGCTTCGTTTCGCTATTTTCTGTGAGTGGTGTTTTGCGCCCATCTACGATCCGTATTCTTTCGCTGATCTCTTAGCAGTGAATGATCGTGATCCATTTGAAATTGCTTTTTTGATATGATCCGTTTAAAATCACATCGTGATCCATTTAAAATTCNCATTCGAGAGAGTCATTGCTGTTCGGAATTAATCATTCTCATAGTCAGCGATTAAATTTTCAATTTTGAAGTTCCATTGATGCATTCCAAAACCGCATCGACCAAATACGTCAAATTGGTTCGTCAGCTAGCCATTCTTTTGTTTCTGACAGTGAGTAGTTCATGTATTCTGAACATAAACCAATGAGTAGTTCATAAAACAATGCGGTTGGCGTGAACAAAAGAATTCAAAAATTTCAGACAGTCCGTCGCAAAGCATTTGATGCAAGAATTTCGATGTTGAATCGTGAAAATGAGTTACTGATGAAGAAGATGGACGATATGGAGAAGGAACGACAGGACATGTACTTGGTCATGTTCAAAAAAGGACAACAAGCTGCACAACACGATACCAAAGAAGTACGTTTTGACTCTGCTGAATGTGTCCCCATTCTACGCCGTGCGCATTCTGAGTGGAGAATTTCGTGTAAAATCTGAAACGTATGGTTCAGCTTCATGATTCAGTTATGTTATGCTCAATCAGATGTGCACCGAAAATTTGTTGGTGATTCAATTTGGTTGGTTTGTTGAAATGATGAATGGAATTTCGTCTCGCAGTCAGCGATTACTGGATTTGTTTTTGTGGCATTGTAAAGCGAGAAGAGATAAGATCGAAAGACATAATGACAAATACACTCGTAACGCTTTTCGATGTGTGTAAAGTTTTTGACTTATGTGACTGAAGTAGTAACTTGTTCTCAAGACAATCAACCACTCAGCTGTTCTGAGTGCCCACTTCAAAACTTGTTCTCATATTTCGAAAATAAACAATCTCCGCAATTTCGTCACAAATCATGCATTGAAGTCAGTTGATCAACCGTTGAGGAGATCATGGCTTATTGAAATTGCTGGCGGATATTTGAGGGTGACACTCAAGGAATAGCAGTTAACATGGTAGCGCAAGTTCATCTGCCCTGTTTGACTGAGTCCAGTAAAATTGGTGAATGTTTATAGACCAAGAAAGTCGACATCCGGACAAATACCCTTGCGAAAAATTCATTTGAGCTCTGAAAAGCAAGCGATGTGGAGTATAATCGTGCTTGGTTTTGTATGCTATTGTAGTTCCCTTCAGAATCAACTAATGAATTGGATCGTCTTTTTGAGGAGGTGATCAGGATTATGCTCCGATCACCAAATGATATAAAATGACTTCGAGTGCTAACCAGTGAAAACTACATATTGAACCAAATGTGTTCTTGTGTTGTCGATGTACTCAAACTTGATATTCTTTTAGGTTAGAGCAATTGATGAAATGACAGAAGATAGAATCGTGTTGAGGTTTTTACATGATGCATTCTATTATTTTATGGTGAATAAAGGCGATTCAAGGGAGCATTTGCAGGTGAGTTGATGCAATCACACAAATTATCGCATTTTTATTACTTCGCATTACTATTTTTAACTCTACTTTTATTGTTATGCCAAGATTTGAGTCAGTCCTCTCATAGATTATACCATAACAAACCGATAACAACTCACTCGCTTTCCATCTTTGCTATGCTTTATTGCCTTCAACTGCAACTTTCTCTCAATATTAACGTTTATGAATAAGATGCGCTGCAAAATAGTGGATCACTTTCTCTGATATGCAATAAGTGCTTCATTCTCCGTGGTGAATTACTTCCCTTTAACAGTTTTACTGTTCTTCGAAAGTCGTTTGATGCATTATCGCTTCTGAACAAAAAAACATCAGTCCAAGAATGCCTTCATTCATTCTTTTACTGAAATTTGCTCTCTTAATGCATTATNTTATGTCAGAGCATTTGCATTGGAAGTGGATGCGGAATCGTAAGATCTTAATTGAATGAGCCATTACGATTGTTGTTTTTTGTGGAGTAGTAAAGTTGAATTGTTTGTAAAGAATAATGAGTGCTGAGTGTTTAAGGCGATAATGACAATGTTAAACTTCACAACAGAGCAGAAAGAGGACGTTCAACGAAGACGTGGTGCATCGCATTGACGATAGAGCCATTCAGCTATTCACTGCTATTCTCACAACATTTGCATACATTCTTGTCCCGTAAATTTCTGAATGTCATATTTCAAAATTTTTCTTCGAAATCCAATGCTTTTTATTCCTGTCAGCACCTCATTAAAGCGTACAAAATGTAAAGTTCAGGATCCAATTAGGAGGATTCACGAGATATTTCATTCTTTCATTGTAAATAGTGCATTTTTGATTGTCTCAAAATATCATTTCTCCGACGTGTTCAGAGATTGCCCTAATCGTAGAAATCATGGGAGTGAATTGATTGATTCCATTTTCCTCGAACGATTCAGATTCAGACATACGTGTGTTAAAAGTCGTCATATTGCCAGTCAGCATTAACAGTACCATTACGATATTAATATTAATAGTGTTATTTGCATTAACGTTGTATATATTGTTGCGGGCCCGTTGTGCAGTTATGAATGCCAATCGTTATAATATATTCTGTTGAAATTCTGGAATTCATTTCACCACCAGACAGAACAAGTTGTTTATGTATTGATTTGGTACGTCATGCGTTGATGCTGTTTTAAATCTCTTTTATAGCCGATATGAATGCCGCTTTTATTATTCACATTAATAACCTCGACATTTCCCCGAATCTTCGATTTCCAATGTTTTCTTTTGTGTTCAAATGGTCACAATAATACGTTCATTCCTCGACTAAGTGAAGCGTTCACACTTGAGTGCACTTCATATCAGTGCTCCGTATATTCACAGTGTTTTGTGGAAGAATATCCTCGTTCATTGAAACGATACAATGGGAAGGAACTGCTCTCGTGAATGTAGATTTATCCTTTAGTTCTTATTTCATTTGAAATCCATATGATCCGTAAAGGAACTTGGTTTAATCCCTTTGAGGATGGTTGCTTTTTTAAATTGAGCATAAGACCAACTCAAGTGTGGTTTTCGTTGGAATGTGTTCCCAAAAAATATTTTCGAAGTAGCTGAAAGTTCACAGCGAGGAGAATGTCTGATCTCTCAATTGATTATTTGCTCAAGTTTCGTTGTGGTTTTGAACACTTCAGAGCAACAAAAAGGTTCGTTTTGGGACAAAATGATTTGTTATCACAAGTCACACTGATTATCAGGAGTGCTCTTTCATTTCTAGCAACAAAACGTTGATTCCGTTATTTTAATGGATGTTTCGAAATTTTTACTGCTTTTTAAACATTCACTTATTCGACAGAATGAACGATTCAGTGGTATTTTGTTGACACTTACTCTGTGTTGACTGATGATTATCGACTACCTTTCCGTGAAATAGTCAATGATTCCGTTTGTGGTCGGTGTTTGATTGATGAGAAATTTTGCACTTTTCATTCATTCTGACTCATCTGAAAGGATGTTCTTCTTTGCGGAGTATATTGTTTGAGTTCATTTTTCAGAACTTCACAGTTGTACTGAAGAGAGTGATCAGGATAGTGATTCGTGGCAAAAATTTTTGTGAATACTTTCTTTCGCAAGAGCATCGATCACACTCTGTTCATTCGGTGATTTACGATTTCGTGTAAATTTAGGTTCGTGTCTCATAAACATCTCAACCATTTAATCATTTAAATGGCCACCGAATCAGTGGTAGAAAAAAAGAGGATAAGAATGGATAATGAAAAGATGCATAAAATGTTTTTGAGTGAATTTATGATCGGTTTAACGTTTATTGTGATCAGCAAACGATTGATTGCGTACCAATCAGTGATCAGTGTGAATGTGTCGCAAATCGCTTCGAGTGAAACGGATAACGAACGTTCCTTTCAAAGTGATCGCTTCTTCGTCTCACTTCAGAGTCTCATTCCACTGTTTTATGCTTTCGTGGAGCCAGACATATCTCCTTCTTACGTTCATTCACTAATTTTCATAAGAAACCACTAGCCGATTGGTACATAAAGTAATGTCGTCATTTTCCTTGCAATGATTGTAATAAAACTTCCATTTTTACGAACATAAATATTTTTATATGGCCTTTTGATGTTTCACTTACTCAGCGCACTGCTCGAAAACACATATTTCATAACGTCCTCATTTTTATGACTGTAGACATTTTTATTCCAGAAAAAAAGTTTGTTCTTTTTTGATTTTGAAGTATTTCCACACTCAGTCATAAATTCGATTTGAATTCATCTGAACTGTTCAGTCGGTTATTACTGCTAATGTTGTCATGGTTGTGTGCTGCGAGCAGCAAAATTTATCAGCCAGTACAAATTCGGTTGATTCACTCAATTCGTGACGTCCAAATGAAATAATACCGGAAGGTTGTATGCCAAAGATAAAACCGTCCCGATAGCTGACGATGCTGTCGAAATGAATGATGATCGCACTCAATCAGATATTTTTCATGTGATTCGTTGCATTGTCACTTCCATCCCGACGAAATGATTCATGTGCTGGTAGCAAACCCATTTACACTACACCTCATATGCACTGTCCGCTGTTCACGCTTAAAGGAGTGTCACTAATAAGAGCACTCTAACGAAATGCACTCACCATTATTGGAGGTATCAAGCTGCGGTTTCGATCAGGATACTCATTTATGGCAGTGAACGTGATCGAAATTTGTTTCACTTCCGAAAAAAGGCTGACTTTTGTTGGTCGGTGTAATTACAGAAGGATTTGTTGTGTTTTTGTGGTTGCATCCTTAAGCAATTTTATGATGTTCATTTTATTTGTGTTCGTTCAGTTTTATTACTGTTATAAACGTATATTACGTAACATAAACGCAACGATAAGCCGTTATAAAACGCATTGATCGTTTACTGCAGAAACGACAAGTCTGCATCATTTTTTGTGTAGTGAACATCTAATGAGGCAAAATCCCACATATAAAACATGTCTTACTTAGTGAGTGCAACGCCAGATAAATGAATGAATTTGTTTTGCAGCATTGTTCATACAGACACAATTTAGTGCCGTTACGTTCTCTCTTGCACGAACACCTCGTTCATTCGTGTTCGTCGCCTGAATGACTGCATTTGTTGAAGGAATGCATGAGATGTTGAAATTTCTAAGAACATTGAACAGATTCTTTTCGTCTCCTCACTACTCATCAACTTTTGCCTATCCTAGTGATCTTATCGTGAGTCTTGTAAACCTCAGATTAATTTTTGCTCTATTTATTCATTGCATAATGAAATGGAATAGAACCTGTACAAATGATTATCATATTCACATACAAATGCACCATATCAGTGTGGCAAATGAGTTGAAGATGATGCACTACCACCATAACTTAATATCAGGATTATCTAACAATTACATCCATAAACATAAAATGACAATAACATGCGATATTGTTCACCCATGCAAATATTCACTCAAAGTATCACATGAGGTTTATTCCTTTAGAGTTTGTTGTTAACATAAAGGTTTTTTTCCGGATTTCTTATCATTACCTCTTTTTTTACAAATGCTTCATAAGAAATGAATTTCTTTCTCTCCTCAAAATTAATCGTTTGATCATTATCTGCTGATAACTCATCGAGAACTTCCTCACATAATACTCACCGTTGTTTCCATCTACTTATAACTCGTTATAGCGACACAATAGCGAAAAAGTTGTGTCTTACAATGAGACTTTTGTTATTTGGTGATCGAATTGCATAATTATGAGTATTTTCATGCGTCAATAATACACATCGTTATACGTTTCCGCCGCAGTGAAATTCCCATTATGCTATCAGCCGATTGTATTCGCCTCAATTCCTGCACATGTAATTTATGCCTGCTTATCGAGCCTTCTTATAGCCACCAGTGTCATCAATTAGACTGACGTAATGCTATTATTCATGAAGCATTATCATTTGAACAATTGATGCATATAAGCCGTGCGTTCTCACGAACCAATGATTTTCGCTCATAGTTAATCACATACGCTAACTGCATTCGCTGAGTCAAGATCTGTTATTCACATGCCCAAAAACTTCAGATTACCGCCGATTGACTTTTAACTGATTCCGAGCTTCAATCTAATCAATGAATCCTGTCCAACATTGAAAGTTTATCGCTATCTCTTGATGATCATAAGTACGCCATGTGAAGGATACAATTACCGATTTTTGCTTGATTATAATTATGTGAGAATCATGCAATACTAGGGAATTTATCTTGTCGTGTGATGTGCGGACATACGATCCTTGTAAATGACGAATGAATGGGAATTTATAACGCATATGTACGTACCTTCAACGTGAATTCATCTTGCAATCGCTCTTTCCCTACAT